CATCAATTTTTCTGGCCGCCTTGCATTCAAACAGTTTATCCCCAGCAAGCGTGCCAGATATGGGGTCAAGGTGTATAAGACCTGTAAGAGGGCAACAGGCTATATATGTAAGTTTCGAAAAGAAAGCTCTATTTGTGTGAAAAAAGGACATAAATTTAATTTATGTACAGCATTGCATGATCGCGCAATTGTCATTTAAACTAGTGCAGCGCTGTTTAGCAAAAAATGGCATAAATTACAATATCTATACCATAGTTTGTAGACACTATAACTTTCACACAAAGCAATCAATATACACTTAATGGGATTTTTTTTACGAAAAAAATGTAGCAGAATACATTTTGGCCTAAGTTTATGACAAAATTTGAGTTTTTTGGATATGTTTTATGACAGAAATTAGAAAATATTGGGGTTTTTTTTTAAAAATTTTGGGGGGGTTCTTGTTTATAGCGCAAAAAATAAAAAGCACACAGGTGATCAAATACCACCAAAAGAAAGCTCTATTTTTGTGAAAGAAAGGACATAATTTTTTTTTGGGTGCAGCTTTGCATGACCGCGCAATTGTCAGTTAAACTAGTGCAGTGCTGTATAGAAAAAAATGGCATAAATTACAGTATCTATACCATAGTTTGTAGACACTACAACTTTCACACAAAGCAATCAATATACACTTATTGGAATTTTTTTTACTAAAGACATGGAGCAGAATATATTTTGGCTTAAATTTATGACTAACTTTGAGTTTACGATATATTTTTCATAGCCGAAAGTAGAAAATATCATTTTTTTTTTCAAAATTTTCAGTCTTTTTTTGTTTATAGCGCCAAATATAAAAAGTGCACAGTTGATTAAATGCCACTGAAAGAAAGCTCTATTTGTGTGAAAAAAAGGACGTAAATTCCGTTTGGGTACAGTATTGCATGACCGCGCAGTTATCAATTGAAGTAGTGCAGCGCCAAACAGCAAAAAAAGGCCTGGTAAGGAAGGGGGGTACATACTCAGGAAGGCAAGTGGTTAAAACAGAAACATACAGAAACATACAGGATAAGTTGTTGGTCTACGAAGGCACCAAACAATACTGATATCCCCCTGCGGAACCTTAACCATAATATTCATACTAGACCTCCAGCTGCAACGCACCGGCTCGGAGACTAAAACATACCTTCCACAGTGTAGAACCTCCACCAAACTGCAGGATAGAAAAGTCACGTCACAAAGCTGTGCTGTCTGGAAAACTGTGAAATTATTGGGAGTTTGGACAAAAATATAAATGATGCTATGGCAGGTAGAAAAGCTCACATATATATATTTCAATGGTGTATTTATCTGCTTGCCTTAAGTTCATCTGTAAAAAATAATGACAAGCACTGTTAGAAGGAAATAGCTTGGCAGGAGACCCTGAAAGATAAAAAAGTCCACCTCTCCTTGAGATTCCCTGTTGTGAAAGAGTTGCTCCTGGCACTCATTGCTGAGTCTTGAAGTCTGGAGTGCTGAGTCTTTTATGTACCTATTTCTCTTCTGCATTCAAACCAATTATGATCTAATGGGTAGCAGGAAATTCAATTAATTAGTAATTATTTCCCAGTAAAAAAAATCATCTAAGAAGTTAAAGCAATAAATGCAAAAATACATAAATGATGCCCTTACCAATCATAGTAATAGGTGAGCAGCATGTCAAGTAAATTCCTGCTAATAATACGTATAGGTGGTGTCATAGAAACTGATGTAGATTGATTTCCAGACAAAAAAGCTAAAAAATAGAAAAAGAAACAACACCCCCCACCCCCCTCCAGGGGTACATTACTCTTCTATGCTTCTATGTGTTTTAAAGTATGCCTTTCGTAGCCTTTGGGAAAGACCTCAGCGTGACGAACGCAGCACCCAGCCAATGCCCTTCTCACCATCTTGTGACAAAGGACCGGCCAATCTCACACCGCGCTGTCACTTACATAGAAATGCCAGTCTCAGCTGCACCCTGCACAAAGATTTTCCAGCTCGCGGTACCACAATCTAGGTGCCAGCAGCTTGGGAGTGGTTAAAATAATTAAGCAATTAACCCTTTAAATGTCACCACTGTCTTTTTACCGAGAAGGAAGAAACTCACAATCTTAGCAATAACAACTATGATTTTAGAATAAACAGCTGCAACACACACTGTCACCACAGACAGGTATGTTCAGAGGATTTCAAAGCTTTTCAAGATATGGTTTAATAATGAAAAGGTCAACATGGTGCAAATAAAATATTTACAGAAAAAAGGTGTAACCAAATACTAAAAATTAAAGAGACAACAAGGCAACAGAGAAATAAAAAGGTGTTGAAAATGAAGAATACTTAACAATGTCCTGGTTTGCAGAGTCCTATGGATAAGGAAGGATAGCACAGTGGCTCTCTCAAGTCCAGTTTGGTGTTCCTTGGTTTGATGTTAAACCAGAGCTGTCAAAAGGTCCTGACATTCCCTTTTTCTGTGGTTTCAAAGAAGTGCTGACAGAGACCATCTGAATAATCATCCAGTTTAAGGGGTGCTGGCTGGGAAGTCACCACATTTATGACTGTATCATGACCCTCCCTTACACACAGTTTTATACAAAATATCATTATCTTCCACTCTGAATAGGTTGCATTCTGGAAACTGGTTTATTATTGTTCAGCATTATATTTCAAACACAGAGTATATTGGATGGGCCTGTCACCGAGGAGGTAGGAGACTGTTATCTCCCCTTCTGTCTGTGCTAGCTTAGTCATGTATGACCTTGATTTGTTCTGTATGGAATTTGTCATAGTTTTACTATAGGTCAGAAAAAAGTGTTCATCTGTAGAGTTTTTTTATGGTCAGTAGAAACTAACAGACAGGACCAGGAAAAGGACCAGGACCAGGACCTGCCAGGACTGAAGTAGCTGTTACAGCTCCGACCAAGGCCTGTGTGCTGGTGTCTGCTGTCCCTAAGTTGAGCTAACAGGCTATTTTGAAGTATGTTTAACGTTAAGGCTATAAATTCCCTGAATTTCAGGAGGAAGGGAGAAGGAGAGATCACTGATATGCCTCTTCTCATGACAAAGTGGATGTCACCTACAGCTTTGATGTACCTAATGGCACAACCACAACATTGCATGGAGAGAACAGAGCACAGTTGGGGCCGTTTAAAATTTGAGCGCAAAAGCAGTGCAGTGTTTCTAAACGTGAAGTTCAAAACAGTTGAATGAGGGGTTAGGCTCAGTAGATGGGTTGAAGATCTCTTATCAGATCCCTCTGTGGCAGTCCACATGTGACAGTGAGTTGTCTTTTCAGTGGTGGAGTTCAAGATGAATGCAACACTAACAGCAACTCTGGGTGATGAATGCTCCACCTGGGATTACCTCCATGCATTTGCGCTCGACAGTCCACCCCTTGGCCCTGTCAGATGCAGTCCAGCCTGGCCCAGTTCAGCACAGCACAACTCACACAGACCTTCTAGGTTGGAATGTGTTAGGAATGGACTGGCCAGCAATGGTGGGACTCACCTGCCTTTTGATCTGCAGTACAGGGCTGGCCAGCGGGTGTTCCCAGCAATCAGAGACTCAACTCTGCAGCCAGCTAACACCTGTAACTGATGATGCTGGGGTATTTAAGGGATGGCCAGACCCACAGACTCTGCCTTGGTGTTGTGTTTGTCCTGGGCCCTGTATCTGTCCTGCATCCTGTTTCTGTTCCTTTGCTGACTTCTCCTGCTCTGATCCTGGCTTGTGACCCTGACCATCCCTCTGTCTGACCCTCTGTACTACGCTGCTTGCTACCTGTTCTGATCCCTGGCTTGTGACCCGGACCATCCCTCTGCCTGACCCTCTGTACTATGCTGCTTGCTACCTGCTGAACCTGGCCTGTGACCCCGACCATTCTCCGCTTGCTCCCCCTGTACCTACCTGCCCAATTGATATTGACCCGGCCTGCCTGACGACGCTTGCTTGTATGTACTGTTATCTGTGGGTGGTTTGGTTTGGTTTGTTTGCACTGTATTATGTTTTAGTATTGCACTGCGTTTATGTTTGTACTGTTAGTGTTAATAAAATTATATTGTTTATAACATATCTGAGGTCTGCGTTTCCCTGCTTCAGTCACACACCTCTGGTCATACCTGGGAGCCCTGACATTACACCAAGGCCAATCCTGACCAGAAGTGGCTGCACAGGGAAGCCATCTTGGCTTGTTGATGGGAAGGATGGATCTTGATGAGGTTGAGTATTTATATCTGCTAGTGTTTGATGACAGGGAGTATGCTTATCAAACTCTGAAGGAGTATACCCGGGATGAACTGCTAGAATGTATACGGCTCGCTCATGTTCTAGTAGATCAGGGCACAGTGTTCTCTGAGGTGCAGCCATTGATTGCGGTTTGTGCAGAGTTGGTTTCATCTGGTTCCCCCGAATGCAGGGATGAATTTTTGCCACCATTTAGTGCAGACCAGGTAGAGTCCCTGGTGTGTGGTTATTAGAGGATGATGTGGGTTACTTTCTGGAGCGTTATTCCACATGTTCACCACAGACACTAAGAGATTGTATAAACGCAGTGCAGTCATTGACCAGACAGACTTTGTGTAAGCGCAGCTTTGTTCAACCCCTACTGCAGACATGGACAGATTTGTTGCACCCAGCCTCAGTCAGCTTACAAAGACCCAGTCCTGCTTCTAACTCTACTCCTGTATTCCCACCAGCTCCTCCAGTTACAGCCCAGTATACTTGGCTATCTACCGCATGTCAGTACCCTGTTCCCACTGCTGCACCTATCCTGCCTTTAACCCTGTAAAAAAGCCCTCTGTAGCAACTGCTCCCTCTCCTGTTCCATCCTCCAGTTCTTCTCTGTCTCCAGCTGCTCCATTCGTTTGCAGACCTGCGTTTACTTGCAGTGCTCCAGTAGTTAAAACCAGAAAAAAGCGAAAATTCTTTCCAACCAGTACCATCCTGCCAGTATCCAAACCGGTGAACCTGCCTTCCGTGGTTCAGACTGATGCCTGTACGCAGCCTGAAGCCTCTACTCGGCCTGAAGCCTCTACTCGGCCTGAAGCCTCTACTCGGCCTGAAGCCTCTACGCGGCCTGAAGCCTCTACTCGGCCTGATGCCTGTACTCGGCCTGAAGCCTCTACTCGGCCTGAAGCCTCTACGCGGCCTGAAGCCTCTATGCGGCCTGAAGCCTCTACGCGGCCTGATGCCTGTACTCGGCCTGATGCCTGTACTCGGCCTGATGCCTCTCTTCAGCCTAAAGCCTCTACTCGGCCTGAAGCCTCTACTCGGCCTGAAGCCTCTACTCGGCCTAATGCCTCTCTACCCAGCATGATGAACTGATCCAGCCTGACGATCCTATTAGGCCAGTTGACTCGATGCCCGCTGTTGATCCAGATGATCCGGTACCTGATCCGGTGCCCGCTGTCGTGCCAATTGACTCAGAGCCCGCTGTCGTACCTGGTGACTTGGTGCCCACTGCCTTGCCAGATGACGCGGTGCCCGCTGGCAAGCCAAATGACCTGATGCCTGGTGACCTAGTGTCCGCTGTCATACCTGATGACCCGATGCCCGCTGTCGAGCCAGACAATCCGGTACCTGATGACCCGGTGCCCACTGTCGGGCCTGTTGACTCGGAGACCACTGCCTTGCCAGATGACGCGGTGCCCGCTGTCGAGCCAAATGACCTGATGCCTGGTGACCCGATGCCCGCTGTCCAGCCAGACGATTCAATGTCTGCCCCAGTGCCCGCGGTCATGCCAGTTGACTCGGAGCCCACTGCCTTGCCAGATGACGCGGTGCTCGCTGTCGAGCCAAATGACTTGATGCCTGGTGACCCGATGCCCGCTGTCCAGTCAGACGATCCAATGTCTGACCCAGTGCCCGCAGTCATACCAGTTGACTCGGAGCCCACTGCCTTGCCAGATGACGCGGTGCCCGCGGTCGAGCCAAATGACCTGATGCCTGGTGACCCGATGCCCGCTGTCCGGTCAGACGATCCAATGTCTGACCCAGTGCCCGCGGTCATACCAGTTGACTCGGAGCCCACTGCCTTGCCAGATGACGCGGTGCCCGCTGTCGAGCCAAATGACCTGATGCCTGGTGACCCGATGCCTGCTGTCCAGCCAGACCATACAATGTCTGACCCAGTGCCTGCGGTCATACCAGTTGACTCGGAGCCCACTGTCGTGCCTGGTGACTCGGTGCCCGCCGCTCCGCCTGGGGGCCCGAGACCTGTTGCTCCGCTTGGGGGTCCAGCGCCCGCCGCTCCGCCTGGGGATCCGGCGCCCGCCGCCCTGCCTGGGGGCCCGAGACCTGTCGCTCCGCCTGAGGGCCCGAGACCTGTCGCTCCGCCTGAGGGCCCGAGACCTGTCGCTCCACCTGGGGGTCCGGCGCCCGCCGCTCCGCCTGAGGGCCCGAGACCTGTCGCTCCATCTGGGGGTCCGGCGCCCGCCGCTCCGCCTGAGGGCCCGAGACCTGTCGCTCCTCCTGGGGGTCCGGCGCCCGCCGCTCTGCCTGAGGGCCTGAGACCTGTCGCTCCGCCTGGGGGTCCGGCGCCCGCCGCTCCGCCTGAGGGCCCGAGACCTGTCGCTCCGCCTGGGGGTCCGGCGCCCGCCGCTCCGCCTGAGGGCCCGAGACCTGTCGCTCCGCCTGGGGGTCCGGCGCCCGCCGCTCCGCCTGAGGGCCCGAGACTGTCGCTCCACCTGGGGGTCCGGCGCCCGCCGCTCCGCCTGAGGGCCCGAGACCTGTCGCTCCACCTGGGGGTCCGGCGCCCGCCGCTCCGCCTGAGGGCCCGAGACCTGTCGCTCCGCCTGGGGGTCCGGCGCCCGCCGCTCCGCCTGAGGGCCCGAGACCTGTCGCTCCGCCTGGGGGTCCGGCGCCCGCCGCTCCGCCGCCTGGGGGGCACGATGCCTGTCGCCCCGCCTGAGGGCACGATGCCTGTCGCCCCGCCTGGGGGCACGATGCCTGTCGCCCCGCCTGGGGGCCCGATGCCTGTCGCCCCGCCTGGGGGCCCGGTGCCTGTCGCCCCGCCTGGGGGCACGGTGCCTGTCGCCCCGCCTGGGGGCCAGGTGCCTGTCGCCCCGCCTGGGGGCCAGGTGCCTGTCGCCCCGCCTGGGGGCCCGGTGCCTGTCGCCCCGCCTGGGGGCCCGGTGCCTGTCGCCCCGCCTGGGGGCCCGGTGCCTGTCGCCCCGCCTGGGGGCCCGGTGCCTGTCGCCCCGCCTGGGGGCCCGGTGCCTGTCGCCCCGCCTGGGGGCCCGGTGCCTGCTGCTCCGCCCGGGGGCCCGGTGCCTGCCGCTCCGCCCGGGGGCCCGGTGCCTGCCGCTCCGCCCGGGGGCCCGGTGCCTGCCGCCCCGCCCGGGGGCCCGGTGCCTGTCGCCCCGCCCGGGGGCCCGTGCCTGCCGCTCCGCCCGGGGGCCCGGTGCCTGCCGCTCCGCCCGGGGGCCCGGTGCCTGTCGCCCCGCCCGGGGCCCGGTGCCTGTCGCCCCGCCCGGGGGCCCGGTGCCTGTCGCCCCGCCCGGGGGCCCGGTGCCTGCTGCCCCGCCCGGGGGCCCGGTGCCTGCTGATCCGCCCGGGGGCCCGGTGCCTGATCCGCCTGGGGGCCCGGTGCCTGCTGCTCCGCCTGGTGGCCCGCTGCCTGCTGCTTCGCCTGGTAATCCGATGTGCCTCTGCCCGGAGTCCTGCCCGATGTGCCTCTGCCCGGAGTCCTGCCCGATGTGCCTCTGCCCGGAGTCCTGCCCGATGTGCCTCTGCCCGGTGTGCCTCTGCCCGGAGTCCTGCCCGATGTGCCTCTGCCCGGAGTCCTGCCCGATGTGCCTCTGCCCGGAGTTCTGCCCGATGTGCCTCTGCCCGGTCTGCCTCTGCTCGATGTGCCTCTGCCCGGAGTCCAGCCCGGTGTGCCGCTGCCCGGAGTCCTGCCCGGTGTGCCAGTCTTTGTATCCCGCCAGTTGCCAGACCCGGGCGGTGGAACATTTTGCCCAGCTAGGACTGTTTGGAGCGTCCTGAGGCCGCTCCTTGAGGGGGGGGGTACTGTTAGGAATGGACTGGCCAGCAATGGTGGGACTCACCTGCCTTTTGATCTGCAGTACCAGGGCTGGCCAGCGGGTGTTCCCAGCAATCAGAGACTCAACTCTGCAGCCAGCTAACACCTGTAACTGATGATGCTGGGGTATTTAAGGGATGGCCAGACCCACAGACTCTGCCTTGGTGTTGTGTTTGTCCTGGGCCCTGTATCTGTCCTGCATCCTGTTTCTGTTCCTTTGCTGACTTCTCCTGCTCTGATCCTGGCTTGTGACCCTGACCATCCCTCTGTCTGACCCTCTGTACTACGCTGCTTGCTACCTGTTCTGATCCCTGGCTTGTGACCCGGACCATCCCTCTGCCTGACCCTCTGTACTATGCTGCTTGCTACCTGCTGAACCTGGCCTGTGACCCCGACCATTCTCCGCTTGCTCCCCCTGTACCTACCTGCCCAATTGATATTGACCCGGCCTGCCTGACGACGCTTGCTTGTATGTACTGTTATCTGTGGGTGGTTTGGTTTGGTTTGTTTGCACTGTATTATGTTTTAGTATTGCACTGCGTTTATGTTTGTACTGTTAGTGTTAATAAATTATATTTGTTTATAACATATCTGAGGTCTGCGTTTCCCTGCTTCAGTCACACACCTCTGGTCATACCTGGGAGCCCTGACAGAATGTCTCTCCAACTGACTTTTGAAAATATAACATCTCTCCCCCTTCCTGGTGCTTGTGGGCCTTGTAGTTGTGGCCCCAGTTCAACTGTGTAAAAAGCATATTTATGGTTAGGCAAACTAGTGGACACTTCCACCTTGTGAGCAAATACAGCTCTACATCTTAGTAACATTGCCAGTGTTGCATAACTATATATATATATATATTTATATACTTGATTCGCGCTCGTGCATGGGTGCGGTGATTTGATCCCCAAGGGATCAATCATCCGATTTAGACCAGTGATGGTTGGCCTAAGTCGGTTGCTCGATCCCTGTCCTACCAAGGACCTTCCTGTACCTGTGTTTTCAGTTACACAGGTACAGGAAATGATGACATCTTCTCTCTCTGGGCACATTCAGTCCCAAAGAAAGAAGAATCAAGACACACAGTGAGTAAAAGCAGCACACTTACAGTTAGAACACTTTAGGACACATTTAACCCGTTGATGCCCCCCAGTTAATCCCTTTACTGCCCTGTTACCAGTGTCATTACTACAGTGTACAGATTTTTTGTTGATCACTGTATTAGTGTCACCAGCGACTTCAGTTAGCGTCAGTTAGCTCCCTTCCCAGATAGCGTCAGATTGCCTGTCAGTACACCAGTAATCACATTTAACCCCTTGATTGCCAGGAACACGCTCACATACACAATAAACCTCCATTGCTAGTATAGTGTCTGAACGGATCAATATCTTTGATCGTATCAGAACTATACCAGCGTTCACATTCGTATTGTGTCCCCAAAAATGCAGCGTTAGCGGGATCAGCCCCGGCACCTGACAGCACCTGCCTTTAGCCCCTATGCTTACCCCCCCTTCTCCCCCACCAAGTGCAGTGTCAGTAGATCACTGTCACTTGATACATTGCACACAAAACCGCAGTGTTTGCAGAATCAGGCCTGACCCCTGTTAGCACTTGCTGGTAAATTCTTTTGTAGCAGTTCAAGCAGTCCCTGACAGCCAGGTGCTCTTTTTCCTGTGAGTCGCACTAGGTATCTATAAATTTTGTGGCCAAAATGTCAATGGAAAGGTACACTAGTGAAGAGGCCTACAGGATTCTGAGTATGTCAGGTGAGAGCGAAGGAGAAGACTTCCTGACACACTCAGCCTCAGAATACAAACCTGTAGACAGCAGCGGCACCCTAACAGATAGCTCAGACGATGGAGAAGAGGTCCCTGCTATGATCAGGCATACTCAACTGCATTCCCAGGTTGCTGAGATGTTCCAAACGCATGATGACTCTCATATGCAGTAGAGTGCCAGTACTAGTACCACTCTACCTTTTGGTGAACTGGCACCAGCAACCTAGCACATCCTAGTCTTTCACATACCAGCACTGCAGTATCACTGATACTGACGAGTTCAATAAGTGCAGTAGAAGCTGGTGCGGTGGCGAGCACAAGTAGTGTCCCGCAGCCACCAAGAATTCACACACAGGCCCGTAGAGCCCCTAGTATCCTACTGGATGTGCTTGCAAATCCTGATTGGCAGCCCACAAATTCTGCAGCACCTGTACTTGCCCCGTTCACTGTCCAACCCGGAATTCAGATAGAAAAAGCAAATTTAAATACTCCCCTTAAGTTTTTGGAGCTGTTTTTCACAGAAGATCTGTATGGATTGATTGTGGATCAAAGCAATTTATATGCACAACAGTTTATCGCTGCCAACCCAAATTCACACCTTGCCAGATCATTCGCATTGAAACCCATTACGGTTTCTGAATTTAAAGTTTTTTGGGGCCTAACCCTCAACATGGGCATTACTAAAAAAAATGAATTGTGGTTGTATTGGTCCACAGTTCATCATATGCCCGTGTTCTCTGCTGCCATAGCCAGGCATAGATATGAGAGTATAATGAGCTTTATACATTTCAACGACAACACACTCTGTCATCCTTGGAGTGCCCCTGAATTTGACCGGCTCCACAAAATTCGGCCCCTCGTAAATTACTTTAACCAAAAATTTGCAGATGTCTATACTCCCCTGCAAAACATCTGTGTTGATGAGCCCCTCATTAATTTTTCTGGCCGCCTTTCATTCAAACAATTTCTCCCCAGCAAGCATGCCAGATATGGGGACAAGATGTATAAGACCTGTGAGAGGGCAATAGGCTATACATATAAGTATCAGATATACGAGGGAAAAGATAGTCACTTGGAGCCCCCTAGATGCCCAGAATACATGGAGAGCAGTGGCAAGATAGTTTGGGACTTGGTGTCATCCTTTTTTCCATATGGGGTACCACTTATACGTGGACAATTTTTATTCAAGTGTGCAACTATTTAGACATGTGTACAATCTTGGAATTGGCACATGTGGCACTGTGCGACCTAATGTGTGCCCACCATTAGAAGGGGGTTCCCCCAACGGCCTGTAAATACCAGTCTTAGAAAGGGGGAAAAATGCTACTTGAGAAACAAGCAATTGCTCGCAGTGAAGTTGAAGGACAAATGGGATGTTTTCGTCCTGTCTTCCTTTCACGCTGACACAACCATCCAAATTGCCACAGCAGCTGGTGTTGTTGAGAAGCCCCTCTGTGTCCATGACTATAACCTTAACATGGGAGGGGTGGACTTCAACAACCAGATGATAAAGCCGTACTTAGTTTCCCAAAAAGCCAGTGTAAGGGACCGCCCGGCGGTACCACTAGCACTCCACTAAATAGGTGTTTCCAGAGCACGGAGTCTAAGTCCCAGGGGACTTGTTCACCAGGGCCCCTGATGGTGGGGATGGACTTGGAGCCCCCCGAGACCAGGTCGTGGCTACTGGGCAAACCCGTTAGTGGTAGTGGTATTCGCCGAGGGCTCCTGCGGGGAAGAGCCTGATATGAGGAGGTCAGGAGACCCCACTGGGAGGGATGGATGGATGGATGGATGGCTGAGCAGGTGCGGGGTCAGACAAGCCGGGTCGGTAACAGGGAGGACGGTATGGTAAAAGGCAGCGGGCAGAGAATAGTCGGGTCACACGCCAGGTCAGCAACAGCAGGTCAGATCCAATAGGGGGCATTCAAGAGAGAGGTCAGGCAAAGCAAGGGTCAGGGCAGGAGAAATACAGCAAGGTCAAGCACAATCCGGGTCAGCAACTTACTATTCACAGGTTCGCAGATACAGGATACAGGTAAGACCAGAAGGCACTGAATGACAGCTCAGGGCCATTTAAATATCCCGCCCTGCGCTGCCATTGGTGCCCAGCGGGCGGCCGCGGCTTCTACTGCGCATGCGTGAACTCGAACGCCGCGGCCGGCCCGGACCTAATGCTC